ACTTAAAAAAAAAGCAAACAACTCCCCTTCTTCCCTCTCCCCTCCCCTCCCACCCCCCTCAACTTGAAGCAGTATGTTTTAAACAAGATTATCGTGGGAGAACTGTAAATACTGGCAGAATATTTAACATGCTTTGTCCGTCCTTCATCATTAATGATTTTTTTTTTTTTGTTCGTTTTTTTAACCGTAATCTGTAAAGTCGCGTATATTTGACAAGGAAACTCAACGAGCTATTCCCGCTTTTCTTATAAATACCCAATAGCATATCAGGATTGTAAGAGTTGACGGCAAGTCGGATTTTAGGGATGCCCGTTCCAGCGGGGGACCCGCCGTGTGGTTGGGAGGGGGGAGAGGGGACCCGGCTGATGTGGGGCCGGATTCGGGTGCCGGCCCCGTCGGCATCGCCGGGGGTTTGTCTCTGGCTGGCGCGGCGGGGGTGCCTTGGAGCTTCGCCTGGAGCGTGGGGGGGAGAAGGAGCGTTCGGAGAAGGCGATGGTCCGTGTAACCTGTCTAAGTCCTGCTTCCTTGGAGGTGTTTTTGGTGCAGGGAGGGGGGGTTGGTCCGTTGGCTCTGGGGGGAGCGGGAGCTGCCGGCGCCGCGGGTCGGGGGGAGCAAGAACTGCTGCAGTCTCACGTTTTTACACTACATAACGTCTAACCTACCTCAACTCTCAGTCATTACAAATTCGCACGCTTCAGACTTCTACACAAAACTCGAAATCTATGCACAGCTCCTTTACCCCTTGCTGCTGAGAGGCTGTTTCCAAGCAAAATCTTTCCCTTTACCCGCCCTGGCGGCCGCGCTCATCCCGCCCGCACCGAAGCCACGGGGGTCACGGAGTTCGAGGGGGGAAGGAACGTTTTTAATCGCTTCAGAATGGGATGTGGGGACCTCGTTTTGCAGCAGGTCGTGGCCACAATGGTGCTAGAACAAAACCCGTGGTGGAAACCCCGGGGAGAGCTCGGCACGGGGAGCCCCAACCGGCTTCTTCCATCCCGCTGCAGGTGGGAAATGAGGGGTGCATTTCGGGTCCCCCCGTCCCGATGCTCTCGGGATGAGGCGTGGGAAGGAGAAGGAAACCAGAATCCCTGAGGTGCCTCAATTGCTGATTTTTCCTTTTAATACTGGAGTACGCTTTGTGGGCTCTATAAGGCATATTTTTATTAAATGAAATCTTGTAATACAAACGGTGCTATGGTGTTTTAACAAACTGTATCACGCTTCTGCCTGATTCCATCTCGCTGAGGTGCTACTAATGTATATATGAAACTAAGGAACCAAGATATAAAAAAATAAAGCAATGTCGTTGAGAAGGAAGTTTACCTTTCCGGAGCGACAGCTCAAGGTGTGCCGGGAGCCGGTTGGGTTGATGCAAACCGGAGTTTTGCCATGTCCAAGGTGTCCCGGGGTCGTGGTGGAGCCGTTCCCTGCGGAGCCGGTGCGGTGGTGGGATGAGGTGCTCAGATGTACGTGGGTGTAGGGTTTGGTCAGAGGTGTGATCTCGGTGCTCAGCGGTGCTTGGTCGTGGTGTGTGGACATGGTGCTGAGACGCGGTGTTTGGCCACGCACCGTGGATGTGATGCTTGGGCGTGGTGGTCAGTCACACACTGGGGACATGGTACTGGGACACAGTGTCTGGTCACACACCGTGGATGTGATGCTCGGGCGTGGTGGTCAGTCACACACTGGGGACATGGTGCTGGGACACAGTGTCTGGTCACACACCGTGGATGTGATGCTCGGGCGTGGTGTGCGGACATGGTGCTCAGACGCGGTGTTTGGCCACACACTGTGGACGTGGTGCTCGGGCACGGTGGTCAGTCACGCATCGGGGGCGTGGCACGTGGACATGGCGCTTGGACGTGGTGATCAGTCACACACCGGGGATGTGGTGCTCAGACGTGGTGCGTGGACACAGTGCTTGGATGTGGTGCTTGGCCACGGTGCTCGGACATGGCACGTGGGCATGGTGCTCAAGCACAGTCACACATCGTGGATGTGGTGCTCGGGTGTGGTGCTTGGACATGGTGCTCGGGCACAGTGCTCGGCCAGGCATCACGGACATGGCATGTGAACGTGGTGCTCGGACCTGGTGTTCAGACATGGAGCGTGGACATGGTCACACATCGTGGACATGGTGCTCGGGTGTGGTGCTCGAACAGGGTGTGTGGACATGGTGCTCGGACGCGGTGCTTGGACACAGTGCTCAGCCACACATCGTGGACGTGGTGCTCGGGCGTGGTGCTCTGCTGTGGTGCTTGGACGTGGTGTGTGGACACGGTGCTCGGGGCACGGTGCTCGTCCACAGCCCACGGACACGGTGTGCAGGCACCACGCTCGGACATGCTGTGTGGACACGGTGCACGAACGTGCTGTGTGGACATGGTGCTCGACCACGGTGTTCAGAGGCAGTGCACAGACACGGTGCTCTGCTGTGGTGCTTGGACTTGGTGCATGGACGTGGTGCTTGGGCACGGTGCTTGACCACGTCGTGGACATGGTGCATGGATATGGTGCTCGGGCACGGTGCTCAGCCATGCGCTGTGGACGTGATGCGTGGGTACGGTGCTCAGACGTGGTGCGTGGACATGGTGCTCTGCTTGGTGCTTGGACTTGGTGCATGGACTCGGTGCCTGACCATGGTGTGTGAACACGGTGCTCGACCGCAGTGCTCCGACATGACGTGTGGACACGGTGCTCAGTCAGGGGGTGAGAACACGGTGCTTGGCCACGTCATGGACATGGTGCTTGGGGACAGTGCTTGACCATGTGTCATGGACATGGTGCATGGACGTGGTGCTTGGGGACGGTGCTTGACCATGTGTCATGGACATGGTGCATGGACGTGGTGCTCGGGGACTGTGCTCAGCCATGCACCATGGACGTGGTGCTTGGGGACAGTGCGTGGACATGGTGCTCTGCTTGATGCTTGTACTTGGTGCTTGGCCACATGTCACGGACATGGTGGATGGACACGGTGCTCAGATGTGGTGTGTGGACATGGTGCTTGACCACGGTGCTTGGACTTGGTGCATTGACTCAGTGCTCAACCACGATGTGTGAACACGGTGCTCGACCACGGTGCTCAGCCACGGGGTGTGGACGTGGTGCTCAGACGTGGTGCTCAGACGTGGTGCTCTGCTTGGTGCTTGGACCTATTGCATGGACTCAGAGCTTGGACAGTGGTGCTCTGCCACGTGTCATGGGTGTGGTGCTTGGCCGTGACGGGTGGACATGGCACTCGGACATGGTGTGTGGGCACAGTGCTCAGCCATGAGGGGTGAACACGGCACTTGGCCGTGGGGTGTGGGCGTGGCGCTGAGCCGGGATGTGTGACCGTGGTGCTCGGACACGGTGCTGGGCCCAGTGCACGTGGTGTTGTGCACACACGGAGCACGTGGTGTTGTGCACACACGGAGCACGTGCACCACGTGTGGGTACCGTGTGTGGGTTCCACGTGTGGACGCAGCGCTCAGGCACCGCGCACGACCACGGGGCTCGGATGAGCTGTGTGACCGTGGTGCTCGGGGACGCTGCTCAGACACACGTGGTGCTGGGCTGGGTGCAGGGGCATGGAGAGGGTGCTGGGCACGGTGCATGGACGTGGTGCTCGGGCACGGCGCTCACACACCAGGCACAGACATGGTGCTTGGGCACAGAGCGTGGCACAGCTGTAGTGCTCGGGCGCTGTGCACCCCCCCATGGCACCCCCGTGGTGCTTGGGCACAGCACCCCTGACCCCACGGCACAGCCCCCCAGCACCACCTGGCCGGGCCCTAATCCTGGCACTGCCCCCCTGCACCGTGCCGGCCCCACACCCCTGGTGCTGCCCAGCGCCGCAATCCCGGATCCCAGCACCGCGTCCCGCACCGCGATCCCAGGCTCAGCCCCACATCCAGCCCCACATCCAGCCCCACATCCAGCCCCACATCCCCCCCGCGTCCCCCCGGCCCTGCCCCGCGCCCCCCGCGCTCCCGCAGCTCCTCGCGCTCGTCCCCCCCCCACCCCCCTTCGCCCGGCTCTTTTCTTTCCCCCCTCCCCCACCTTTTTTTTTTCTTTTTTTGGGGTTTTTTTGGGCCCACCTCCCCCCCCCCCCCCCCCGGGCAGCAGCCCACCCGCGCCCCTCAAGGCAAATACCTCAGTCCCCCCCAGCCCCCGCCAGCGAGTCCGGGGTGAATCTTTCCGAAATCAGGGATCCTTTCGCAGCGGTGTTTCCTCCTCCTTCATTTCCCCCTCTTTGTTTTTGCCCTCCTTTTCTCCCCCCCCCCCTTTCCGCCCGGGTTTTTCCTCAGTTCTCCGCATCCTTCAGGGATTTACAAACCGCCGGAATTTCAGCCTCATTTTAATTTCGGGAGCGAGGAGGTTTTTGGGGGTTTCTTTGTTGTTTTTTGGATTTTTTTGGGGTTTTTTTTTGCCGGTGGGTTTTTTTCCGCACCGCGGCGCGAAGGAAAAAAAGGAGGCGATAATTCCGAATTAAAATCCAGGCGCCGTTTCTTCTCGGATTCGGGAATTCGGTCGGAGGCGGGGGGGGGGGTTTTTGGGGTTTTTTTGGGCTTTTTTTTTTTTTTTGGGATAATCGAGGACGGGAGGTGGGACGGCGGCAGGTGGAGGGAGGAGACATCGCACGGGTGTCCCGGCGGCTCCGAAAAATCACACTTGAAGATTTCTTGGTCGGCTCGGGACTGTGGTTACTTGAAATGAAGTTTTTTTCCGGGGCGGATCGAGGACCGGTAGATTTTTTTCCCATGTCTCAAGGCAATAGGATTAATGTGTATTAAACTGTAGATACTTCTAGGACAGTAAATTTATGCTGATAATTTTATTTTGTATAATTTTCCCCTCTTTCTTCCCCTTCCCCCCCTTCTTTGTGTTGTTTTATTTCCCTTTAACGCCCTTTTCTTTCCCCCAGTGTGTCGGTAAATTTATTTTTTAGGATGCCTAAAAATTGCAAGTTTGGATCCTCCCCCTCCCTCCCCCCTGGTTTTGGTTTTCTTTTTTTTGTTTGTTTATTTTTTGTTCTGTTGTTGTTTTCTGTTCTTTTTTTTTTTTAATTTGTATTTTATTCTGAGTTGGCGCGGCCGTGGGGCCGTGGGCTGTATTATTCCTGATATCTTTAAAATATTGTGGGTGTTTTAATAAATTTTATATTTATTTTTTGCACTCAACATGTGGCTCCTCCACGGCTTTGTGTTCCCGGATGGAATGGGATGGGATGGGAATGGGCGGGGAGGGGGGGCGGGATTGAGATGTGGGGTGGGAATGGGGGGCAGGATGGGGGTCTGTGGGTCTGGATATGGGAATGGGGGGG